TTTGCATATCTCCCTGATTAGCCAATGGGAAGGGTAGCGGTCATACACCAATTACCATGTTTCTCTTTTATTAGATTAGATTATTTTTTAAAATATATTTTTACTAGAGGCCCAGTGCGTGACATTTATGCATTGGGGGCGGGGGTGAGGGGGTGGGGAGCATTCCTTATCCCGACCTGCACCCTCTCGCAATCCTGGACCCCTTGCTCCTTACCACCCGCATGCTCACTGCTCCTTAGTGCTGCTGCGGAGGCCAGAGAGGCTCCCGCCACCGTGTGCTCACCAGCCGTGAGTCCAGCTTCTGGCTGAGTGGTGCTCCCTCTGTGGGAGCACACTGACCACCAGGGGCAGCTCCTGCATTGAGTGTCTGCCCCCTGGTGGTCAGTGTGTGTCATAGCAACCAGTTGTTCCACAGTTTGGTCAATTTGCATATTGGGGTTTTTTTTATATAGGAAGATTGATTTCAGAGAGGAAGGGAGAGGGAGAGAGAGAGAGAAACATCAATGATGAGAGAGAATCATTGATCAGCTGCCTCCTGCACGCCCCCTACTGGGGATCGAGCCCACAACCCGGGCATGTGCCCTTAACCAGAATCGAACCCAGGACCGTTCAGTCCGCAGGCCAAAGCTGTGTACTGAGTCAAACCAGCTAGGGCGAGACTTTGATTTTAGATGCCCCTTTTCAGCCAGCGCGAGAGAGCTTCCTTTCGTATTCCAACGCCATCTTTTAGTTGATGAGAATTTCAGGACTTAGGGACGTTTGGCCGTAAAGTTTCCCTTTGCTCAAGATGGCTTTGAAATGTTATGTTGTAAGATTTCCTTGATAATAACATTGATCTCAGCACTGAAGTAGGTAATATACTTTAAAATTCACATAACGTTATTTTCAGTGCGACTTTAGAATAGTCAGCGGTGCTTCATTCCAGGATCTTAGTTGCATAAGTTTCTTCCTGCGATGTTATGATGTTAAAGCAGAAAGCACTAAAGACCTCACTGCCATTTATTTTTCTTAAAACCTGAACATTTTCATATGTTTCAAGGATGAGATGAAGTATTGGTAAAAATGTTTAATGGGGCTTTTTTGTTCTATTAAGTGAAATGGAGGAGTGTTTGCTTTTTTATATCTGGTACTGAGCCAGGAATAGGAAATAGCTCAAATGCTTCTGAAGTTTGCTTTCAGTATACTAAATATTTTATCTCGCTCTTTTTTTTTTTTCATGAAAACAAGATGGAAGATCTTCCAGACCAAGAAAAAAATATAAATGTTGTAGACGAACTAGAAATAAAATATTATGAAGTTCAATTAGAACTATATGAGATTCAATTTGAGATATTAAAATATGAAGAAATACTACTTATTACACAGCTGGACTCTATTAAAAGGCTTATCAAAGGTAAAACTTATATTTAAAATATATATTAAAATGTTTAAATTACACATTCAAGGAAATACAGACCATGTTATCAGTTACTTCTTGTAAATGGTATAAAATATCTGCTGAAATTTCCTAGTTTCCCTTCAGCATTTTTATTATTCAGATAGTAAATAATATATTCATTGTTAAACATACAGCAAAACAAAGAAAGGAAAACTTATTACCCCAGTTCCATCAGCTGGAGATACTTAGTGGTAACAATGTGTTGACTCGTTAGGTAGCCTGATGTATATAAATATCAGTTTCTAAACTAAAACTATATATCCTGTTCAGTGTTCTCTTTTTCCTTTAACATATGATAATCATCATTCCATTTCAGTAAGAAAAATTTTCAAAAATTTTAATGGCTGCATAGTATTCCATTATGTGGATATACCAACTGTGATGTTCAGTTTTTCACTGTTGTGAACAGCAGTATAGTGAAGAACTGTCCTTTAACATGTGTTTGTGTTTGCATTTGTGTATAGGACAGCTTATTTCCTTGGAATAAATTTCTAAAGATGAAATCATTGGGTCAAGGACAATGCAAAATTTATATTTGACAAATATGTGTTAAAACAACACAACAATAATCATTCGATATATATTTTTCCTCATCTCTGTTATTTTCTAATTTCTAAATTTCATGCTACATTATGGTCCTCTAGATGGGCTGTACAAAATGACACCCCCATCAGCAGATTATGAAAATACCTGTTTCCCCATACTTTCACCATTCGTTTAAATTCTTGCCTAATTGATAGAAAAAAAATGGCATGTTCTAATATTTAAAAAATATGTATATATTTATTGATTTCAGAGAGTAAGGGAGAGGGAGAGTTAGGAACATCAATGATGCGAGAATCATTGATCAGCTGCTTCCTGCACACCCCCTACTGGGGATCAAGCCCACAACCCGGGCATGTGCCCTGACCAGGGATGGGAACCGTGACCTCCTGGTTTATAGGTCGATGCTCAACCACTGAGCCATGCCGGCCGGGCATTCTGATTTTCATTTATTCCAGTTACAAATGACATTCAATGCAATCTTGTATGTTGACTGGTCATTTATATTTTTTTATGAAGTGTCTATTCATAGTCTTTGCCAGTTTTTGTGTTTCCTTTACATATTAAGGCTATTACTCTTACTATTTGTCATATGTTGCAGATACTCCCTGTTGTTTGCTTTTTCTTGCCTTGCAGAAATATTTAACTTTTATGAAGTCCCATCTATTTATCTTTCTGCTTTTGGAGTCACATCTGGCAAAGAAATCTATGGTTTCTGCTTTTGGTAGTATGCCTGGCAAAGTCCTCCTCATCCTGAAATTGTGTCAACATTTTACTTATTTTTTTTCCTTACAGTATTTTTATGAATTTTAAAGGGACATTTAGCTCTTTAATCCAGATGAAATTCATTTTGATGTGGGGTAGGAATCTAATCTTTCCCCCCAAGTTGTTAGCAGTCCCAATCACTGATTTTGAACACATTTTCCCTTACTGCTTTGACTTGCTGCCTGTCTCATCTAGAATCGTTACATTTATTTTGACCTATTTATAAATTAATTCCCTTCATTGATTTGCGAGTGCTGGCACCAGACTTCCGGTTGTATCTTGGAGGTCCATTTCAGTGCCTGGTAAAGCACATCCCTCCCCGTTTACTCTGCTGTTCCACACGTTTTCTGACTGTTCTCCTTTATTCTTCCAGATGAACTTTAGACTCATTTTCACAAGTTCAAAACAAAAAGGCAAAACACTCGGAATTTTTATTGGGATTGTGCTTAAAATTAGAGATTAATTTGGGGAGAATTGTCGTCTTTGCAATTTTGAATCTTCCCATCCAAGAACATGGTATGTCTCTCCATTTACTTAAGTCTTTTTCTCCCTAAAGTTTCTCCAAGTTTTCTTTTTTTTTTTGCATACAGATCCTGAACATTTAATTTAATCCTAGGTATTTAAAAAACTTTATCATAGTTTCAGGCTCTAAGCATTTTACACATTTAGGAAAAATTTTATTTTAAAAAAAGTTGATCTGGAAGGATGCATGCCAAATTGTTAGTGTTTTCCTCTGGGAGGTTGGGATTCCGAAGGTTTGGGAAAGAAAGACGAAAATTATATTTTTTATTTTATGTACTTCTGTAGGGCTTGATTTTGTTAATAGCATGCATGTATTGAAAAATCACCATGTAATCAAGATTGTATATCATTAAGGCTCCTCAATAATATACTGCTGGTAGAATGTAAGCTGCCTTTCTGGAGGGCAATTTGACGATAGTTATCAAGAATCTTAAATATTCATCTGCTCAGCAAGTAATAAGAAATGGACACAAAGATCTATATTCAGAGACGTTCATCACAGTGAAATTGCCAACAATGGAAGATTCTAACAACAGAGATTATTTAACTTAAAGAATACTGTGTTGCCATTAAAATTATATTTCCATCACATGGAAAGTGTTCTTTTGGAACTGCTTACTGATACGTGTAGCTATATAAGTGATGTGTGTGCATGCGTGTGTTTCTCGCTGGGTGGTGGGATTACACGTGATCTTTACTTCTCTTACATTTAAGAGATCTTATGCATAATTTTTCTAATAAAACATGTCTTTAACAAGTCATTAAATATGTATTTTTAGATAAACAGGATGAAGTTGTCTATTATGACCCATGTGAAAGTCCAGAGGAACTTGAAGTCATTGATCCCGGGAAGGGGCTGCAGGACCATGAGGATTTGGAAATGAAAGCGCTCGGCCGGCAGTGCCGGCAGCTGGAGCGGCAGCGGGGCCGGATCTGCGCCAGGAGGGCCCATCTCAGGAACAGGAAGGTGGGCGCCGGTGGCTTTGCTTTCTTTCCCTCCCAGGCATTTCTTCTGTCGTGAAAGATAAAGGCGTGGGAATAAGGCTTTTACCTGATTTGTGTGTGTGTTGATATGGATGTCAGTAGCTGCAATTCCAATATATTTGCGAGTTTTTCTTAAAATGATTTTTTGTTTCTTTGGGGATTTAAGCATTTATCATACTCTCTAGATTTTTAATTCATTCAACAGTTATTTGTTGAGTGCCTATTACATACGCAGGTATTTTTTTAAATCGCAATAAGTAAAAACTTCTAATCAGCTGCAGTGAATTCTAAAATTTAGTGCAAATTGTTGATTATAAAATCAGAGATAATATTTAGCTCATTTCAATCCTTATATTCGGTGATTTTTTTTCTTAATTTTAATAAAGTCCATCCTGTATAATAAAAGGGTACTATGCAAATTGAACGGCAAAATAACCAGTTACTATAACGTGCACTGACCACCAGGGGGCAGACGCTCAACACAGGAGCTGCCCCCTGATGGTCAGTGCGCTCCCACAGTGGGAGAACCACTCAGCCAGAAGCCAGGCTCATGGCTGGCGAGCGCAGCGGCAGTGGTGGGAGCCTTTCCCGCCTCCACTGCAGCACTAAGGATGTCCGACTGCTGGCTTAGGCCCGCTCCCCTTGGACTTGCCCCGAGGGCTCCTAGACGGTGAGAGGGCACAGGCTGGGCTGAGGGACACCCCCGAATGCACGAATCTTGTGCACCGGGGCTCTAGTGATTGTATAAAAAGGTAACATGCCAAGAATGGCTAAGCATCATTGAAATGTAGTTTTTAGTATGATTTTTCAGGTATTTGTAAGTTGCATATCCTTATGTAGGTATGTTTGGAAGTATAATTACTATTTTTAAAACATGGGGAAATGTGCTTTAAATGGCAGCATTGAAATAGATTTTTAG